TGACAACAGTTATTTTTATCAAGTATTAATAATTACATTGAAATTAAGCATACAGATGAAAACTGAGATTACATGCTTATGCAAATTAATAAAAGGTCACCTATTGAAAAACTGATGCTCAATATAATTAACAGAAACGACAGATTTACTTACCCTTCCTCCCTGAGTTCATCAAATAGAACTTGGACAATTTCGTTCTGAATTATAAATTAAAACGAAACTAAATTTTGAGAATTGATTCCAGATGTTTCTTATTAATTACTATCAATAAATGAAACAAATTATAACATTTGAAGTCAACATTCATCAGGATATTTAGTTAAGTAATCAATACAACGAAGTGAGGCGAGTCATTAGAATAAGGTTCCACTTATATTTAAATATCGGTAGAACTATTGGTTATTGTCTATTTTTAAAAGTGAATATGAGATTCAATGACAATATAAACCTGCGTAGGATTTGTAAACAGATTCTAACTTAAAAACTAAATTGAACTTAAAAATTCTAGAATCAAAAAGACTAATTTCTTTCTAAATATGTGATACTATTATATAAAATTAAATAAACGCTACACATTTACAAAAGTCGGATTGTGAGATGTTGAAATATCCCTAACCTAGTCAATTGCACAATTAGAAGAACGAAAAATGAGGATTGAAAAATATTCCATGGAGGAAAACACGTAAGGTAGTAATAAACTACAGTGATGGTTGATATACTTTATATATTCGATATAACCTCTTTGATTAAGAATACGGTAACTCTCTTATGAACTAAGATAAAAAACGATGGAATGTAAATTTTATGGACATACAAGTTACTTTACTTTAAGCTTATCGCAATGGCTTTCTCTCTTCAGTAAGTTATTCGGTAAGTGACTTAAAACTAAGTATACTGCATCTATCTTCATGTGATATCCACCATATATCAGGTCAGGTTTTATGACATTGTTTATTTGAACTTTGACCACTCAGCCATCATGTGACCGATTATACGAAGAATACCATGTTAAAATCTGAAGTAAAAATAAAAGAATTAACGAAAAAGGATTTAATATTTTAAAATAGTATATCTTAGTAAGCCACAGAAATAGTGAAAACATAAACACCCAGTCTTTTGTACTCAAATAGTATAAAGCTATTCATTTGTGACTGATTTATTGAATATTTCGTTCTTCTACTTCGTCACTATAAATCATGTAGTGAAAACACTTTGTTACTCAAATGTCTTAGATACTACCAGAAGTTTTAAATATCACTAGTTGAAAAGTGCAAACTACTAGGATCTAAATTAGAAGCTGGAAGTTGTTACGACCAAAAAGAAACTTGAGAAAGGGATGGTAAACTCAATTCTGTGAAAATTACACTGCTTAATGTCTTTAGGTTTTCATGGATTTACTGTATTTTAAAAATGTGTAAATATCTTAAAACTACTTATTAGTAACACAGTTCTAAAACGATATTTATGGTTAAGAGAACCTCCCTTTGATTCTAATAAATGGGGCTGGATTCTAATGATTAATATATATACAAATGATATGAAAAACTGTCTTCTCACATGCTTGAGTCTTGTGCACTGCTTCGCATTTGAGAATTATTAAACTTATCTAAATACTACTAGTCATCTTTTGGATTATATAGCTACTTTGAAATTATGGCGTCAGTTGGCATTTTTTTTATTTGGAACACGAAACTTTATGCAGTATGCCACCAGAAATACACTAGTTATAGTGAGATAATGGAAAAATCAAGAGGTGTGAGAGACGTTTATATAACAAATAACTAAATAAAAAAAAGAAAGTTGTATTTATTCAGGAAGACAATGAAATGAGATTTCATACAATTAAGAAGATATATCTTACATTTATGAGGAATTTAATAAAAGAACTACAATAACAATGCCATTAGCCTCTGTTCTGAATCATGTTTAATAACACTTTGAGTCACTGAATTGTAGGGTTTCTAGGACTCCAACTAGGGAGTCACAGCGTGGGTCGTCATTTCATTGTAAAGCATCACGTAAATAACTGACCACTTCAATTCATCGTTCACACAGTCCTAGCATAAAAAATTGTATTGTATAGAGGCCACTGTAACATCAGTAGTAAAGTATATATATAGGAACATGTTTCAAAAGTGCTTTTACTATCTTATACAGAGTTTTGGAGCCTTAGAGATACTATGTCCCAATAGGAATATTGATCATAATAACCGTCTGTGTAAATACACGTTAAGGTAAACATACATTCTGCAGTAAATATCGATTGGTTTTCTGTTTGTCAAACGTGGATTGAAGACATGGTACTGTAGATGATCGCTAGATTTCGTGGGCGAAACGTTAATCTTTGAGCCAATGTTAACGAGATAGAGAAACTTCCTCAACATATCAGTGATGTATAACAGACAGCTAATATTCACTGTCTATGGTTACCATTAATGAGTATCAGAGAGGGAGTTTCCCAAAATGTTTGTTTTGGCGGAAAACTTGGGGTTAGAGAAGCTGAAGGTTTTCTACAATTTCTGGAAAGCTTACCATAGGTGTCATGGTACCAATACCGATCAAGGTTATCTGTATCTTGCAGTCTAGAAACAGACCTTTTGCGCGATGGGCTTTTTTGAAGAGTACTAGACTGTCTGGGTTCATTTTGAAGTTTCAGGAAACGGATAAAGGCATTTCTCCTTGACAGAACAAACCTCGACGCTGCGGATTTCGGTGATCTCCAAAATTTGGTCGGCAGATGAAGACAGTTTATCAACGGCGTCATTTTGGAAAAAAAGCAGAACCTCCTGGACTTGTTAAAGAAGATTACGTAGAAAAAGTCTTCTGAAGAGATCTTCATATCGTATTCATAACAGTATCTTTGTTGTCGAACCGTACCTTAATTTGATATTGGGGGGGGGCAAGGGAGTCTTAACTCTTATAAGTTTAGGTGTGTTTAAACGTACTAAAAATAAAATATATGAATATGCAGAAAGAAAATTTGAGGACAAAAAATACCATAATATATAAAAGGTTATGACAATGAAGAAACTCACGGTATATCGTTTTATATACCAGATCACATCGGGTGCACCAATGGAGATTAAATTGTATACAGTGCTTAACAACATTATCGTCCAAAATTTCATCTTATAAAGTAATCCCCAAACCCAGTAAAACTACAAATCGAGGATGAAGAGATGTAAAGATGGTTGAAGTATATAGAGTTTAAGCTGAATATTTATCGCGAGAGATTCACAGCACGACGTACTTAAGCGTGGTTTGATAAGGATACTTGACTTGATTTATATTTTGCTGCAAATCATTTATAAGGACTGTCAATATTCAAAAACGTTTTTAGGAAGGTTGACTTTTTTGTGAAAGATGTTGAATAATCATGTGAACACAAACAGGGCTTTTTTTACAATGATTAAGTAGAGTAAGGTGATTTCATTTTAGAGTGACAGTTTGAATAGAGCCTCTGTTAATTCTTCATCAAGGAAATATTTTTCTTGTAATCTGATTCTCGTTTCTGATCGGTGGAAGCTAATAGATTAGTCTTTATCAGTATATGGAGTTTTTGAGTAAATTTAGTGATTTCGCATTAACTTTGTTTTAATACATTTCGATAATACCTCTTGAAGAGATCTGCAGTTGTGAATGAATAGTTTGAAGTTGGCTTGATGGATGGGGAGTTTGTTCTCAGTCAAGAACGACACCACCTGATGAGATTCATTTGTTTATAACCGAACAATTCAATTTACGTTTGAAAATGTGCTCAAGATTCTGTTCTTTCACATCACCAATTATCTTAAGGAACTGTCCTGGTTATTTAGAACGTTAAAAATGTTTTAAATATTTATCACCCACCGCAGTATTTAACCCCTTTATTAATATTCAAGGATCTGAAACAATGAGTTCCAGGCTCGACTTTCCTTATGATTATCAAAACTAGAGTCCAAATATTTCCGACTGACAAATTCACAGTAGAATAGAAACAATTGATGAAGTGATTCGTAAGTCACTATACATTTATAGTCACAGTTTATTACTGGATATCAACAATTACCGATCATATTCTATTCTGATAAAAGATGTTATACATTCTGGATAACCGATATTTGTCAAACAAACAATATTTTCACAGATTGAAATCATGAGTCAGTTGAAGCTAGACCACTATGGAATACCTGGAAACACTGGACGACTGTTTCGTCCTAGTATGGGACTCCTCAGCAGTGCGCATCCACTATCCCGCACACCGCGGGATTCGAACCCAGGACCTACTGGTTTCGCGCTCGAGCACTCCTGGAGTTCTAGTGGGAAGCCGTTACCAGTGGAGTTCAACCAGGTCCATTGTGAGATATCAGCTCACTGAAGACAATGGTATACGGCAGCGCAACTTCGTGGATGAGTTGAAGTTAGACATTAACACCGTCAGATGCCGGCTCAGTGATCTAATGGTTAGGTGCTCACGCGCGAAACCAGTAGGTCCTGGGTTCGAGTCCCTCGGCGTGTGGGATCGTGGATGCGCACTGCTGAGGGTATTTTTTAATAAATAAATGACAGTAATCCAAGCTCTATTAATAATTATTATCAACACTTTAAAAAAAACATGACACATCAAAATTATTGATTTTAATATTCTATTATTTAATAGACGATGAGTAATAGTAAGACATTAAAAAAATCATTATTATTATTATTAGCTACTTGTGTTATCTACTCCTCAGTTTATTGATTTTAAAAAAATCATTAACAATAACCTGTTTTTTCGTGTGTGTGTGTGTGTGTCTATGTATGTATGATTCCACTATATTGACTGTTTGACACATGTATACATTTAAATTATATGAATTGAATTTGTATTTAATTGAGTAATAATCACTGTTACTTTTGATGATCATAAATTGATCGATCTGACTGATTAGTAATCATTAATGATGAATTATTCAACATGAAACCTTTTCTATTCATTTTTATTCGGAAGAGATTAATTAGTAAGTTGATATTATTGAAATATGGAAAGAAATAATACAATAAATGATTTTTCACTATATAATGAAAATATAAATGATAAACCGAATATTAATGATAAATCGAATATCAATAAAGGTTCATCACTTGTTAAACAATTAAAGCAAACTATTGAAAATATTCCAAAAACTACAAATCATATCAATCAATTGATGCATTATTATACACCAAATCAAAAACAATTAGATGATTTACAAAAGAATTAGAAAAACACACAAAAGCTGTACAAAATGAAACTTATAAAAATCTTTATTTAAATGATCATAATTTAAAAAATTCAATTTTAAAACAATCAATATTAGAACAATTCAATAATTCTATTGATAAAAATAAAATGATTAATTTAAATGATCAAAATATTGAAAATCATTTAGAAAATTCTGAAATTTATTATTCTATTGTAAATGATCATTATTATTCATCTATTAAATTGAATTATTTAGATCAAAATTATATACAAAAATATGATACTGAAAATTGTATAATACCATCAAAAAGTCGACATTATAAAACAGAATTATGTAAACGTTATTTAAATAGTTCTAATGGAGATTGTAGTTATGGTAATAAATGTCAATTTGCTCATGGAATTAATGAACTTAGATTTGCTCCACGTCATCCACGTTATAAAACTGAAATATGTTATAGTTATCATGTTTTTGGAACATGTAATTATGGGAGAAGATGTGATTTTATTCATGATGAACCATTGGAAAAGTTGATTCTTATTCGATTACAAAATCAATTATTTCAAGCTTATCGAAAAAGTCATCCACATGTACAAGAGGTTCGTTTAATCGAGTTATTAGGATTAAAAGAGGATAATTGGGAGAGTTTAAAAGTATTATCATCAGCGTTATACGATGAAAAAACGTTTCATAGTAATGATGATAACTTTTCTGTCATTACGAATAACGAACTCTAATATTTATGAAGGAATTTCCGTAATAGAGATAGATGTTTGATGGGTAGATTGTTATACTTGATTAACTAAATTTATCTTAAGCTTAATATGTGCAGTTTTTCTTGTTTTAACCATCATTTTCACAGAACAAATTTTCATTTGCATGGTAATATATTTAAAATTTATTTTCTAAGATTATGTACAATGCTTTTATTGAAATAATAATTTGGTAATTAATAATAAATTGATGTTGCGCAATGACCATTAGTCTGCTCTTATAAAAATGACTAGCATCATACAAATGAAATGGAGTTATAGATATAATCAGCTTAAATTTATCGTTCATCACGGTATGCTTTTGCACGGAAAATTCGAAGTATGTAGAAAGAGCTGGGGGAACCGAGTTAACAATGAACACTCTAGATCTATTTCGATCACAAAGTTCAGTAAGTTTGAATATTATTAATTTAATCCAGAATGTGTATTGCAGACTTGATAGGAGTAATCACATGGATTTAGCAGATGCGTTTGTTTTCATTTAAAAGTCTCCTAATAAACTGTATACCTAGGTCACTAAAAGTCAAATAGTTGGATATTTGGTTCATATTATTTCAACTTACTACAAAAGGGAATATACATAAGTTAAGCTTTACTTGTCACCAGTTTTATTACGGTCTGGTTTCATCGAGGGCAGGCTGCTTTTAAACCAGTCTCGATCTAATGTTTCACGATCACGAATTCGGTCGATACACAATACAGAGCTATCAGAACTGTCTAATGCCTCACGACTGATACATACGAACTACATCGGTCAGTACTTTACACCGAAATGTCAGCAAACTATCTTCATGTTAGTTACTACTGAAAAATTGAGTTTATTTACTCACCATGATTCAAGTAACGCCTTTACGGAACAGAAAATTTTCTCTCAAGGATTTTATATGGTCACTTAAAACTACATTTATAATTACTGGTTTCAAAAAGAACTGTTTCAATCATAAATCTTTGGCATTTACTACACAGTGGTTTACTCCAATAAGGACGAGGGCAGAAAGGTCAACTTGATAATAATAATGGTAACAGTAATAGTAACAATGATAAAATATTTATTCTGGTATTCGCTACAGCGTTTGACAGAATATTACAGAAACATATTGGGTTCCTTAACAGTCACGGGATTCTTGCAAGTTTCCAAATAACGATAGTAATAAAGTAACGTTACTAATACATTAACTGACTGAATATAATAAATCAAGAGCGGCCATCAAAGCGGTGAATATCAATAAAACCATTGGAAGGAAAAATAACTAGCGGTTCGTTTTGAAATGAGTTATCGGATACGGAGTATAGATCCAAGAGATAGAAAATACAAAGATATTAAACCAAATCAAGATTAATTAGTTGTAATGAAAGCGTGATTATATATGAAATAAATTTGTATTTATTTGTCTAAAAATAAGTTATTTGGTTAAAGTTATATATAAAGGTAACGAATCAGGTTCCGGATCATATTATTTTACAGCTCATCGGAATGGAGATATAATGAAATAAAGGTAAAAAGGGTACTGAGTTTTGTTAGTGAATAGCCACAATTTCAGGAAAGAACTGATTAATTACAAAAAGATGTTAGATGCGTTATATCATACAACAAAGTATGTAGTGCTTTGTCATACAAGTTATGAAGTTATTACAAAACAAATAGTGAGACATAATCATGTTCTAGATAGAGCATTCGGTAGATCCTATAAAAGTAATTAATAAAATATAGGATCGGAAGGCTTCATTAGTAGAAATAACACATCGAATCGTATCTACGATATATGAAAGTTTGTCATATGTAATTTTAACTCAGCCTCCAGAAGTAACTCGAATGAAGCAGGCAGTTTGGAGTACTATATAATCATCGGGAGCCCTTATAACATCCAAGTTCTTGAGATGGTGGCAGCACGAAGAAATGAAGAGAAATATCTAAAGGATGTATTTCAGAAGAACAGCTACCCCATCAACTTCATCAAAAAATACCAACCGCACGCAGCATTAGAACTCAAGTCAAGCACCAAAATCAACAAAAGGATCACCCTACCATATATACAAGGAATATCAGAAACAGCGACGAGACTGCTGAAAACCTTCGGAATAGGTGTGGCACACAAACCGACAAAATCACTACAATCAATCTTATGCAAACCAAAAGATGAAATAACCAAGGAAAACAAATCAAACATCATCTACAAAATAAATTGTGCCAACTGCGAAAAACACTACATCGGACAAAGCGGACGCCCCCTTCACCTTCGCCTACATGAACATCAATTAGCAGTCAAACGGCATGATATCTCTTCACTTATATCAATACACGTGGACAACTGCGGACACTCATTCGATTGGCAAAATGTGGAAATCTTAGACAGAGGAAACTCCAAAAACACCAGAGAATTTTTAGAAGCCTGGCACTCAGGTCAATTAGCAATCAACAAGCATATTGAAATCAATCCAATTTATCAACCAATCAGAAAAATCATGCACAAACATAAGAACAAAAATCAAAACAATGGGAGACACAACCAAAACAAAGAAGTAAACAACGACAAATTTAAGGTCAATAAGAACCAATCAACGTCGAGGTGCACAGAACAAGCTTTGAGACACATATGGAGAAATTCAAACACTTCACTTCTATCTGAAGTTTGTGCTGATGATGTCGTTCAGAAGAACGATGAAAGCTCCACGACCAAACCATCTAGCTCAGAGAACAAAACTCCACCAAAAACATCCAAGTTCATTGGATCTACATCTTCAATTTGAATACAAGACGACCGTGAGAGGGAAGAAGTTCTTCTTACACTACGGCGGACTGGGTGGGAAGAAATACTGATCTTTACCACAACTCGAAATCCAGGATGTTTGGTGTAGTGTCCTCGTCAGTATGCCAACGGAATACTCGAGACCTTGCCGCCTTTGTTTAATTAGGTCTACATAATTCATGGTATGAAATTCAGTACGATTTAACCCTCAGCCTATATTTCTAATTATAGAAAAAAAACATGGGAATCCGTATATGTGCATCTTTAACAAATTGAACGGATGGTCCCTGACTTTAAATTCATCAGTAGTCGGGAGTGATTACGAATAATCTGCGTCATCATCAGCAGCCGAGAAATACCTTCGAATATAGAACAACAAAGTTGCTTGTCCTATTTGAGCCAGTGTATAGGTTGAAGACTATAGCAACCAGCAAGCCTTCGACAACACTGTATAAGAAATGGAAATTTTGTTTTGCAGACCCATCGAGTGGTAGCATTAGCTTTATTACCAGTTGCAAATCCCGTATCTACACTTGACAATCAAACTGAGTCGCAATTCTACGTAGATAGTGAAGAAGAAATCAAGGTATTAATAACTTATTTTCAAAGTACCTGGATCGAGTGACCACTAAAACGCGAAGGCTGAGGAGTTTCAATTTCCGAATTGCACTATGGGAAGTCAACAGTTCTATTCGGGAAGATCCTCCAGAAACAAACAGTGGGATAGAAGGGTGACGCAGGCTTTAACCAACTCGTTAACGCTGAACATCCAGTCTTATGGAGATTCAGTAATTCTCTAAAACAAGGAACAGAAGTCGAATGAATTGAAAGTCGAACAGTTCGTTTCACGAACACGACATCACATGAATAAGTACTGGGAGGGAGCATCATACATTAAACTAGTTGTAGACGATTATGAGGAGACATATACTAGAAAATTCTCGCGAAATATCACACAATTGTAATTTACGCATTGAGATATATACATACATATGAATTACGTCAAAAATCACTCTTATGGTAATCGCTCTTGATTTACTTAGTTTACATATTGGAGACATTATTTCATTGTATTCTTGAATCCTCCAGTAGGAAGGGGTCACCATAAAATGCTGTCAGGCCAGTTTTGGTACAAATAATTGATATTAAGTTTTTAGAACGAAACCAAATACATGTAAACTGCAGTACATAAGGTAGTAAGTAAAGATTCATCCATTCACATGGTAGTAAGCATGACATAGAACTACTATTTTGGGGAAAATTTATCCTTATCACTGACTTGATAGTGATGACAAGTAGTGTCAACAAGAATCTACCGACTGAGAAAACTGGCACTCACTAAACAGAAGCGGAAAACTCACTAATCCATACATTCGTTAACCGTTGGTCAGTAAACTTCGTAACTAGTTGCAGTAACGTTTATTTTCCTATTTCCTAAACCGTGAATTTAGCGCTATTCCATACTTCACAGTCAACAACCTAATTTACTTTTCACTCATACTTAGCTCCCTATTGGATTTAATATTAATTCTTCCCATGTTTTCCATCTGGTTAATCTCTTGCTGCACTAATTCGAAACATGAAGTGATGTACATTCATGCCAGGTTTGATATTGAATATGACTAACTTAGACTTATCACACGGGTTCCTTTCTCTTTCAAAGGTACAGATATATTATGAATTACCTGTTTCTGCTATGTTGAATGAGTCGTAAACTTTTTTCAAGGTAGATATTAGGTTGTAATTACGTCCACAAACGTTTAAATCTCAAAAACTGGTCTCATATAGTAACCATGCACAAGTCCATGTGCCCAGATCTGATGTATATCACGCCAGAACTAGTGATAATAGCAGGTAACCCAAACTAAAGTAAGCAGAGCAGAGTTTGAAACTACACCCAGTACTCGGGAGTGAAGGTTTATTTTCATTGCGCAATACAATACCCATATGTTTTTCCCAAAACTGGTTACACGACTATAAGACGTTTACAAAAAGTCTAGTGTATATTATCATAACTGAGAGGAAAACAGGACTACAATGTCTCAAAATGACCAAAATCAGTACAAGTAAATGATCTATTGAAGTCCACTCAAACATGAACCAAATCTTTCTGTCTCTTCCACTTTGAGTAGGATGATAACGAAAATCGGTTTTGGTCCTAGTCACTCAAGTTAACCAATGGACGTATTCCACAAAACAATTACTCCCAAAAACCTAGCTGTTTTTTGAAATAATAACTCTATACTTAAAAAACATGTTTATGAAGATTTTTTCCTTAAAGATCATTTACATGATGTATTGCCACGAACTAAAAATAACTAGGAAGTCGTTTTGTCCTGGTTTGGAACACTACAAGAATACTTCCTAGCGGTTCTATATCCGATGAAATTAAGGTTGTGAAACGAAAAAACACCATCCAGCTACTAGGTAGAGATCCAATGACCTTTATTATTCGACTTTCTTCATACAGGCACATAACATAACCCAACTCATTTCTGTTCCGATTGACTTTAAGAAATACCATTTCGAACCGGAACTCTGATACAAAAATCACATAGTATATCACTATTTATCTAGGCAGTTAGTTTTCATCTACCGTTTAGCTTAACTAATGGCACTAATTAAGCACATTCATTTTGTTTTTAATGGCGATTAACTTAACCACTCATCATTTAAACTAAATTTTTTGGCAGACCATTTTATTACGCGTGAATCAATGCAAACTAGCACGAACACAGGTGTTTGGTGAGAATGATGTTCAACTTCCGCCATTAGTTGCTGTATACAATAAGTCTACCTCATTACTATAATTTTTGTTATATAGTCCCGTAAAACCATTTCTATGTTCATCGTTATTTTGGAAATATTAGTCCAGACATACAGAAATGAATTCTTAAAACAGAGGTTGGATTACCGCTAAGCAACATAACTTGTCCAATTAAAAGAGATTCTATTTGCAAACACTGTAAATAGTGGAATGCCAAGAGTGCAATTAGTATAAAATAAGTGTATTACTCATGAGTAACTAAACTTTATTTATCGTATAATCTGTTTCCTTATATTTTATTGATCAGTAATAAACCAAGTGTTTTCTTGTTATTGATACATCTTTTGTCTGTCCTGACATACTGAACTGTTTATTTCGGCAAGTTTTTGTGCTGAGTTGAGTAATTAATTGGAGCCTATCATCCCGAATGAGAATTCTAACTTAAGCTAATGATTAATTATTGTAGGACCATCTCTAATTTGCGTATATTTATATATAAATATTCCGAGCGACCAAAATGGTCTTTTGATTCTGAAAGACTTCGAATATGTTATTCTGGTGAAGCTAACAGTAGAACTAGATTATTTGTGTTATGTACCTAGAGAACGGCACAAATACTGGTGATTTAATAAAACCACATTGTATCAACTGTGATTAAGTTGAAATAAGAAATTATCTCACAAAAAAATTGACGCCCGTGTAGCAAAAATCTCTTTGAGTTGCAAAACGATTTTGGAATTGAAAGGCTGGTGATGTTTTATAAAACAAGTAGGAATTGACTTATCAGCTACTGTATTTCGAATTATGAATTTAACGCAGAATTGTGAGAATGTGAACTATGAAAGCTAAAATATAAACTGAGCCATTAAAGTTCATAGTAAACTTCAAGCGGAATTTTACATATTCATTATACCCAGAGGCATATACTCTATTCAATCAAAAAAAAACCCAGTTCTTTTTACAGAAAATAATCATATACCCTGACATCAGTGTGCGAGATCAATGCTATGCTTACAAGGTAGTGAGGAAAAATAACTAACGTTCATAAATTCACAAATAGTACTGTGAGTATGAGAAGACATCTATAAGTCGGTCAATTTCATGCTTGAGGAAACAACTCAGTGCGTAAGGAATAAAGCAACAATAAACAACTTAGTTTAGACTCCCCAAGACTTTATAACGATGAGTTTAAGTTCCAACGTCGGTATTCAGTAGGAACACGGAATATAAATTAAACCACAAGTAATCATAAAATTACTAATAGTTATGGTGTGTCATGATGAGGACACAACAAAGTCGTTGACAAATGAACTGATGTGAACAAGATAAACTACTAAGTGACTAACCCAATAAGATAAAAAACATACCAATATAATTCATGAATAGTATTTGATGAGGTTGAATAAAAACGGAAGATATCTGAAGGTAAAATAAGTAGTTATACAAATATTCTGAAAGTATATAAATCTTTATATTTAAAGTCGACTGACTAACATATTAACATGCGGATATAGAGAAAGTAAATTATTATCCACTGATAATGAAATGGATAAACTCGACTTTATTTTGTGTTTTGTTTTCCATAAGTGACGTAAACGTGCCCACAAACCAAGAGCCATGTAATCTATGCGCATATCAGATGAAACATCAGGCCTCATAAGAGGTCTCCACATTATGTATATTCGTCTGTAATAGGAAAATACAAAAACACCGGGACGTTTTGTATAAGTCACAAGCAAAACTGATATGTAAATAGGTTTACACAATTTACATGACATCACTGATTATGGAAACCAAATGATAAGAAAGAGAATGGGAGTATTATGAGCAAATAGATTTTACGAGAACCACAGGATTACTATTACAATAGCATTGCATTTTGAACTTCATGGATTTTTGTTCTCAATACTTATGTACAGTAAAAATAAAACATAAATAAACTGTTAATATTTACATGAATTCTTTTTATATTGGTACAAACTGGTACTTGTATCAGTCTTTAATTATGCAACAACCCCGATTAGATGGAAATTTCACCACCTAACTACCCACACAAAAATTAATTCGAAAGAATCTAGCACTATACGGCTGATATGGAAAATTAAGTGGTATATGAACTTAAACTTTTTTTACCATTCGAATCAAAGTAGTATTTCATATTATATTGCTATCTTACAACTAACACAGAGGTAAAAATTTTAGGTACCATAGTGAACCAAAAAGAATTATATTCGACTCATGTATATCCAGAAAGCACTGTAAAACATCAGGAAATTTACACGTAACCTTACATTGATGTTGTTGAAGTAATCACTAAACAAGTAATATTTAGGCGGTCAAGGGCGATAGACACGAAACTTTGGACATCGGTATTGTGCTAGCGGGTACAAACAAACGAGTTGCATCCATATTTTGAATAGACTGATTCGCCCTCAGAGATCCAAACCTGGGTCATCTAGTGGTGCAGTCGACTTTACAGTTAAATTGTATACGTGACGAGATTTCTTGAAAATTACATAATATTTTGAACTGAACTTATTAGATTTTATGTAGCCAAAGAGAAATAAATAAAGTGAATTCATTTAGTTCCAAGAATACTGTTATTCTTGCTTTGCTTGTGAGGGAAATCAATCGCATCAACATTTTCTCAAAGAACATCAGTTGATTGTTAGCAGCTTTCTTTTGTAAATGCAGTAACTTAAACCAATGTATCGTAAATCTAAAATTTACGTTACTAAACCACAATAAACTAATTAGATATATTACATCATTATAAAGAACATGGTGGTGTGCTGACATTTGCCAATTTTCCCCGACTACGAGACACGAGGTTACCACTATTTTTGACACAATAATTTGTCGGACTTAGACAGGTTTTGCTTTACGTTAAATGTTTCACAAGCCAACAATAACTTTTTCATGATGTTACGGAGGGACTCCATCGATTGTAAAGATTAAGGACATACAACTAACACTTTCCAAGGGAAATTTACGACGACGGCAAGAGATATTTATCTTCAGATTCTGGGGTTTAGGACCAATCATGTCTTCCAACCTATTTGTTGCACATTACATATGATAGTTAGAGTATTGTATCTTTTGAAATCTGCGTGATGTGAAAATTATTGCATTTAATCTCACCTTCCTCACCCAAAGGGAAAGTTGCAACAAAAACAGCGTAAATTTAATAAGATTACACTGGCCAATTTCTCTTGACATTCTGAATGTCTGATTTTAATAACATTTATGACAAAGCTAAAAAGTACATTACCAACCCTACTCATAGCCTTTGAAGTCAGAAATAACGCAGAATATTATCTCAAAACATCAGGAAATAGTAAGGAGGACAATAAAGTAAGAAAGCATATACAGAGCAGTGGATAAGTAGCCAAATATAGATGTCTATTAATACTTAAGACACATTATTTAGCCATGAGTTTTTATGCAGTGAAACCTGAAGAAACTAGGAAGAATTAGACAAAAAGAAGTAACCAAGTTAATTAATACTTGCACTTAATAATAGAATCACCAATATTACAATATGTCAATAGTTGACTGTGCAGCAGAAAAAAATGTAAGGCAACCTAAACGATACCCATCTTTATGGTTCGTTCAAAACAATTTGTTTTAACGCAGCTGGGATGTAAGTACAACAGCATGAGTAGCAAAACCAATAGTCTTAACAAAAAGCGTTGTGTGTAGAAATACATGAATTATCACACTTGTCAGTGACTTTCTTGCGATGTTTAGGTAAGCAATTTTCCTATGACTATAAACTAAATGAAATAAAACACCGAAAATCCCTGTTGTATCTACGACTGTGAAACCAAATTTAACGAAAAAAAAGCGGATTGTTACGTCTAGATAGATAATGTCAAACAGCAGTAGATTTTTAATGTCCATTAACAGCATGGGTTTCTTTTATTAGATAAACAGTCGGGTTATAAATAATTAAAGACGTTCAAATTCGGATAAGGATAACAGATGGATCGATAACACAAACGACCCACTTTGCAGGTAAATAAATAGACAACAGTTAACAAGATCAATTAGTCGGTGACCAACTTAATTTATTACAGGCAATCATGATCTGGGGACAGATTTAGAGTTCATACCAAAAATATAGAAATATGTGCTAGTGAGTACGTTCATAATAGTAAATAGTTCAAAAGTAGCAAACGCATTGACACACATCATTATCACAATTTAATGGAATCAGGGAACCCAGATACCAGTTTATATAAATAAAGTTGTGTTACCTCAATATTTTAGCAGAATTTTTCAAATATCCTCTCTGCATTAAACTTTGAGCAAACCAAAGTTGGGACTTTGCTAGGAGAACAGGAGAGTTGATTTCTAACGCAAGGCTCATTTGAAAGAGTGAAACCGTCCCAGCCAAACTCGCCTACTTGAGTTAGGCAAAAATATTACTTTACCGCATAATCACTGTGATCTCCAAGTGAAGAATATCCACCGCCAAGTGTAGAAAGCCAGGCCATGGATTCTTCGATTACAATTGCCTTGACCAGACGACTTATAACAACTTTCCACCTTGTACAGAATTATACAGAAAATTAGCTTACATTGGGTTATCACATAATGTTCGTTCATACTGACATGGTAGGAACATAGCCGGTACGGTTTTGAGATGCCTGAGGTAGCGAAGTAGGCAAGCAGCAAAAGCCTGATCCATGGAAGCATCGTACAAATACTGAAATTCCAGCAAGTTTAAAGAGAAAACATTTTTCACTATCCGATATGCATGGGTGGAGTGTGGGTTCTGTTTCTCTTGAATAGTCAAATCGTGTTTATTTGATTCACAGTTATCATAAGGATAGGTACTACTTAGACCATGTAACTTACACTCTGGTAGATTTACAATACGAATTGATGTGGCGTAACATACGATCGCAATCATGTGAGCCTCAAGGCCAATTTGTCAAAATCACAAAAAGCGCAGGTGAGTGTGAGTGTACCTATATTTTACAGATACAGATTTGTATAGTAAAGACAGAAGGGCTACGGCCTGTGTTATTCCACTTGAAGTATTTTTTGTGAGTGTCTAGCCTTATCTTGAATGAGTCAATTGAAGGTGCGGACATCTTTGATTCGGGTAACAAGTTCCATGAACTGATCACTCGGTGTAATAACCTGGATACCACAGGTATTTTGTCCGTTCTTGACTCTCCTCCTCGCCTGCTGTGTCCTCTGAAATGTCCCAATCTAGTGGAAAGGTAAAGAGAGGATATATTAGGTTCAAAATCACTTCTTAGTACTCAATACATCAAAATCAGATCACCTGCCAGTTTGTGATAGGAGAGAGTAAGGATATCTAGCCTATCGCACAGCTCTTTATGTGGTAAACTCCGAAGCCCTTGAATTGCCGGGGGTAGCTGCCCCTTCTACGTTTTCCAGGATATCTGAGTCAACTTTCAAACGGAGGCTTGCAGCCTGAACGCAATTTTCAAGTTTGGTTCTCATTAAGATTATGTATGCCTTAGTGAGCATGATGGCATGAAACTGGGTATATGTCCGTTCTAAAGCCTTGGGTTTTTTTAACCCTTTAGCTGGAACATCCCTGCAATGGGCAACGGTCATAAGATCATGACTCACGGTTGCCCTAAGATCGTTGTGAGACCAGACCATGTGTACAGGCACTTCCCTATGCTGTATCTATTTACTTTTGTATCCATAAAGTGCATGTAGATACACTTTTCTGCGTTGATAGGCATCAGCTACTCTTTAAACTAGCTAATCACAATATTCAAGTCTGCTTGATGTGCACATGTATCTGTCTCCTGTTATTTCCCAACGGATTTTTGCATCGCCAGCGTATAATAACATTAAGGATTGAACTACACTTTGGAGATCATTTACATACCGTTAAAAAAGTAAAGTATCTAGGACAAAACCTTGAGGTACTCCACTACGTACTGATCTCCAGATAGAGCACTTCGAACTTACTCTAACTTTCTGTCTACGACCTACCAGGAAATCTCTAAGTCATTCTGGGAGAGGTCCAGCAATGCCAAGCTTTTCTAGCTTTAACAGCAGTCCATTTGTCCGAACCTTGTCAAATGCTTTGCTGAAGTCTATGTTGACAACACACAATGATTTTCCATTGTTTAGAGCTTTTATTCATTTCACTGTTGCTATAAGGAGGTTTGTTGTTCAAGATAAACCTTTTCTGAAATTATGTTGCTCGCTATTTAACACGTCTTTGGTTTCCATAAATGTCAATGATCCAATGGTTTATCAATTCTTTCGCTTAATGGGTTTGAAAGTCTGGTCGCCAATGATGATCGTGGTACTTTGTTAGAAAAAGTGATAAACAAAACAAAGAGAAGTAAAGGAAGTTGTCAAATAATGCAAATAAAAAAAACACTGCTATGCCTGCATAAGCCTGTAGATTCGACAAAAAATGAAGCAAAATAAGAATTTTGTAATATCTATATCAGTCATTAATCAATGTAAATGTACAAACATATCAGGAACATGTGTGCCGACACAACCCGTGCTTCTTAGTTGAAATGTGCAAGTCAGCTTGTGAGAACTGCAATCAAACATTCAAAGGGATTAGTTTCGTGAGTAAACAAGAGTACTGCCAAGAACTCCATATCGAATTACAGAATGGAGTGTGTCACGGACTATGAGGAAGGGCCAGTGTAAAAGAGAAACGATGGCGAATCACTTCGAGTCGGACTCTACTCCAAACCCTCATCTCGACCCTGGGGTACTCTCAGAAATAATGCCTCATTCCGACTGTTCATTGTGCACGTGGATTTATAAGTACACACCGACGTGCCTAGATGCAAGAGATCTTCCTTGACACATCCGTAAAAGATGGGCCGATAAGGAAAAAAAGGTGAGAGGCTTAGCGGCGTAAAAAGACTTCTTTGAAAATTCCACCAGACGAATTTGGTGTTCATAGAGCGAGTTTCTTTTTGTATTGTATGAACTCTTGTATGGAGGGTGTTTATAGACATATTGATGCCCCTCACAATAATTTTCAAAATTTCACTCAACCAGAGGGAGGTACCTTTGCACCACAAATATATTATGGCTACCAGTGCCTTCGAGATGGGAAAGAAACGAAATCAAGCAAGTTATAGGCCTGCAACACATGAAAGTGTGAAGATGCCACAGGTATTCGGAGTTTGAAAAGTCTTTAACCAGTAACATCTTATATTATGAAGCATACCCACCAAGTGAAATCAAAAGACAGAAGCGAGGAGATTCGAAGATATATTTGAAAGGCTATCAATATATCGAAGATCGTCTAATCTAATCTGGCTAGCGATTTCAGGGGTTGTTGTGCACGGCGTTCCCACTCGTGATCTGGTGCGTATGCATGACCGAGCGCCTTTAGCTTGGTGAATCCATTATGACTTATGTGGTCAGCATCCAATGTTGAAAACTTACAGAGCTATTTATTTTGGGGATTTATTTACCGCTACAAGTGCGTTGGTGAAAATATTGGGACTATCACAAATCTGATTTGCCTAATTCTCAAATCATGAGTACGTAAATTTTTATTTTGTGTGTGTTGAGAATGGAATCAAACATCCTTAAATGATTGCGTATGTTTACCGATCACTTGTTGCTGCTCTCTCTTCAGATTCATCTTTCAGTCGAATGCATTTGAACACAAAATTACAGAACATCTTAGTAAAATCTGAGAACCATACACTACATAATTAATTTGCTAAATCTCAATCAGTTTCCTGAAAATTAACTGTTCCTTTTGCAAACGACAACCAATCATTTCCATTGCGGTCATTCATTGTTTATCGTTCTCTTTTCATCGATCTTCTTGACCTTCTGCTACCAGGTACTCCACCTTCGATTGATGATACATACAACTTATATCTATCGACATCAGTAGCACAGACCACAATATTAAAAGTAGGTTCAAGGAATAGTGTGACAACCACCTAATTAACCAGTCCATGACATCCAGTTGACTGATGCGGATCAGTCGTTCTTGAACTTGAGTAGGATCGGTGAAATGTTCGACATTTTGTGACCCGACCGCCGGATGATTTGATTAGGGCACAATAACTTTTCACTGGCACTACATTTTGTCCAAACAGGAAAGTTGAGCTGTGAAAACCAAAAATTGTTTGAAAGTGACTCGAATCACCGTAAAATAGTACATAACTCGGGTTCTCTTCCAATTCCGTAACTGTGAAACTTGTCATGCCCAAAGTACCTTGAAAAGTTCGACGTTTCACAGGTTAAGAAGTGATCCTATTTAGATTCATAGAATACTAGGATATGATTTTGGATGTAAACTGCCTTCTCTTCCTCCTTCACATCTAGTTCAGGACAACTTAAAAATGACTACAGGTGAGTTAAATTTGAGTAACGAATGTGATACTTATACCATGTAGGTTTTTACACACATTAGAAAAATATTAGAATATACCACGCGAAAAATTGGTGTAAACGCCTTCTATACCACAAACGGTTTTTGAAGGTTCACGTCTCCAGATTATCAACCAGGAGGATAATTAAAATCGAGATATTGAACAATTCATTGGGAAGTGCGGAGATTCACTTGTTGTCTTTACATTTACAGATGAGTGCAGATTTCGAGACAGGCTATATGTTTGGTATTAGGGATGCGTGGGTCTCTGCAGTCGCAAAGCATAATAATGCAGTTAGAGCTTATGAAAAAAACTTAGTTAGATCTCAACGTTCAATTGCCAGAATTACAGATCTGCTGGAGGAGAGTTTTACTTCGCTTTCCCTTAGTGTAAATTCTGAAGGAAATGAAGAGGCCTCTACAAATACGTGTCAAACAGAAATAAATTATACTCCAGCAGAAATATACCCTTCGACAGCATGTATGGGTTACTATGGGTTTTCGCGGAGACAAGCTAATCAGGATTTACTCAATGATATCATCAATAACATCATCAGTATTCGAATCGAAGTAATGAACCTGCGATGCCAGAAATTAGGATCTGTCTTGCGTATGTCACACCAATTTTTTTTGTTTTTTACGGTCTACTTAGGACATATAGGAATCTTTAGGAATCCTAGTTACAATGTCAAATTTTTCTGTCATGTAAACAAAAAAGGGAATATTCGATATAAAATCAAGATATTTACGAAGAATATGTTTTGGTTTTCACTTGAGATACATGACAAGTTATAGTCAGCTTATTATAAACCTGATGTGTAATTATTCTCGTTTTCAAAGTGGGGTCGAATTTTATACATTGATTATGATATGAACTCATCCCCTCTATGCTTGTTAAAAAGCTGGTCATGTAGACCACTTGCTACTACGCTTAGTGATAGCTATGTTTAATTTACGATGTAAATGAGTCTTTTGTACTGTGTAAATTAGTAGTCTTATGAGTCTTACGTCACGTAAACATACAACACAGACGATAGAGAATGGGAAATTCAACGATGACAGCTAAAAAATACAAAAAACCCTGTGGAAGGTGATCAGAACTGCCAATATGCTATGTGTTAAGAACGACATTAAAAATCATGATTCAAAATAAAAACAAATCTCAAATGTCACCTGAGGTTTCTAATCACCTGTGTATTTCTACCCTTAAATGTGGCAGTTTTGTATACACCTAGTGACATCTAATATGCGACGCCGGAGATTAGTAATTCGTGTTGTTTTTTGTATGGCTCATTTTCAATTTCTTGCTGCTCCGAACATTTTGTGCGCTTTAAGCTTACACGATCAGTTCAATCTGTCCAACATCCCCCTTCAGTTAGTAACTGGAGATTCGTAGTACGTGTTCCAGCCGTACTGACATAATCAAATTCGATTTAGTCAGTCATCTTTGTTTATTTCACGACTTACGTAAAGTGTTCGCATTCCAGAAGTTACTTTTACCATATGGGAAACTTTTAATGACAGCAGCGACGAATCGTATTGATTAGTTTCGTTTCGAAGCAAGATAGCAGTAACGTATAAAGATCAAACGCAAGGAATTTGAAAGTAGCCGAGTAATTTTTGTCTCCAACCACCTATGTTGGTTCTTCTTGTTATTATCAGTACTCCTGTCGTCGTGAATCTAACACTTACTGGTGTCCAATCTATTGACAAACCAACTCATGATGTATGAATGCTTATGTCAACTTGTTCTAATTCTGTCTCATCAACATTGTGTTGATAGGATATTACTAAAGGATTTGAGTAGTTTTCCTGATGTTGCACCAGAGTTTTCCATCTTCATTTATTTGTCTCTATAATGCTGTTTCAGAACCAATAACTAGTTTGCTTTTAAGTGAGCCGCTGCATCAGTATTCATCTAAAATATTCAGATTATTTAGTTGGCGTAAAGATTGTGCTCCTCGTAAACTTTACTTGCTAAATGCTTTCACTTGCGATCGATATTCACTTACAACGATCGTAAGTTAGAACGTAAACTACCTCTGTTACGCGATATTCTCCACTGCTACCAGCGTTTTACAGTACCATTTACTTTTCGTCTGTTTACTTCATCTGCAGTTCTATGCAACCATCAGCGTCGTTTCTCCCTGTTTATGGCTGTTGTGTTATAAACTGCCGTACTGTAGATCAATCAACATTCCTCCTAGGTATTGGGTCCCTTTCACTTGTTGTAATATTTTCCCTTCATATAGATCGCCTTTTACTGAGAGCGATATGTTTTTGTTCATTATTTGAATTGTGCCAAATTTATCGTGCAATAGTTGAATAATATCACCAACCTTGATAAATAATACTCGCATCCTGAAGCTGTATACATAGCACTTTGGTAAATTTGCTAAAACGTCTGTATTTTTAGGTTTCGCTTTTCTAGTATTTGTCTATAAGTTAATTATATTCCATTTAGTTCTCCATGGCTGTTTGCCTAGTATTTTTAACATTTACATATGGTGTATCTCGGAATCCTGTATGGAATCAAGTACATAATTATCCATTTGCAATATTTAGACGATCTTCTACATCGTGATTATGGATAATTACCAACTTCCCTAATTTTGTAGGTCCATCGGATAGCTTGATAAATGAAATTGAAGAAATCGAAACTCGAGCTTTGACTTTGATGACTTCGCCATCTTCTATTTTCGATGATTGTGACGGAGCAATGGATTATCAAATGGAATTAATCATGAAAAAACTAGAACTTCAAGCTAAAGAATGTCTCCTAGCTTGCAAAACTCTTGCTTCCACAGGTACTCCAAAAACGAAGCAACTGCAGTCAACGATAAGTGTTACATCAGATGTGTCATTGTCTGAGAATGATTCTGTAAGTTTAACTGATACTGTGAAAAAAATCAGTAATTAGGTCAATTTATGTGAATTATAATACCTACTTTATTTTTTTAAAAGGTGTTCCCAACTTTTGAAAAGGCCCGTGCACTGCTTGAAAATTACACAAATATACTTTATCCGTCATTATGGGATTCAAAATTCAAAATGGATGCCTTAAAAATAAAACAGGATATTACCTGTGCATGCAGTCAAGTGAGTTAACTGTTGTGAACAGATGCTTATTTACTTATACACTATTTTTTTTAACTGAAGCTAACCCGTTCACTGTTTCATAAGGTCGATGAGAGGATCGTAGGTTCACTAGTTCCCAGTTATATTGTATCGTAATTTATGTCCCAAATCTACCATAGTAATGATGCAATCACTCTTCCCCGCTTTTGTCATAAATACAAAGCCATCCTAGTCTGTTATTCCTCTTTTTTGTTTTAATTTTGGCGCCTCATATTTATTCGGTTTGTTAACCATTTTATGGATACGGAGGATTCATCTAGGGGGGTTGAAAAACCCTGATTCCAAAACAATGGTGTACATGGGCTCCAGGATCCAATGTTTATAATAATAATAATAATAATAATAATAATAATAATAATAATAATAATAATAATGCTCCTTCAAGGAGAAATATCCTTCCACAGAGTGGGCATTCAGGAAGTAAAAACCGTCCTCATACCTCTATCAGCACATGAGATCGTCTTGCTAACGATTAAATCACTCTCTCTCAGTGATCGCCTCGTTTTCACGACTAACCCTGTTCGTATATCTTTGTCACCATGCGCTACCAATATCAATGGTTTGAGTGCACAAAATATTATTCCTGGTCTCCTGAAACCACTCTAACCTACATGTTGGAGCTATTAATTTTCGAGCCTTTTATCAGATAGGACAACAAGGTTTTTAGCTAGGACTCTAGAATCTCTCTCTATCGATGTATACTGGGCTTTCAAAATGCACATATGTGATACAAGTAAGGTCATTCATTCGACCTCACCTTGCCACTATAAAGAACCGACACGATTTACCCTTCGAGTATCTGGAGACCCCACTGCTGCTTCCCACGGCCTCGCTGGTGTAGGTATAGGGTTTAAGTTATAAAGCAGAACAGGTTCTGTTAAACTGGATTCCAGTCGTTTGTGAATTATCTGACTAAACGGGAAAGTAAGAACTCAAGAATATAAGGGTATGCGTCGTTGCCTCTTCGTTGTCTATGCCTACGCTCCCACTGATTGCCGCTCAGACGAACTTAAGAATGGATTCCATAGGAAACTATCCAATCTTAAAAAAGCTAAATGCTCTGATGTAGTAATATTGGGAAGTAGTTTTAATGCTCAATTAGGTAAACTAAACCAACCCGAAAGGCACTTAGACTGATCCTACGGTGCTACGGCTCAGAGAACATAATGGCGACCGTCCGTTCGCTTTATGCTCAGAAAACCGTCTTTAAACATAAGAAGAAACGTCTAACGTGGCGACCCCCACAATCGACTCGTCGATGGACCCGAATAGACCATACTTCCATCAGCCATCTCTGTAGAGGCTCGATAGAAGACTGTCGCCCATTCTGAAGCACATATTTAGACTCAGATCATACTCTAGTTCGAGTACGTATTTGTCTTCGTCTCATTGGACATTGAAAAGCCATAACGTGAAAACTCAAAGTGAAAAAGTTAGGAGTATATTTCAGGAACAACTAAAGACGGAGTTAGTCAACCATGAAAGTGATGCCCACCCCTAGACAGTTTAGCATGATATCCAGAAAGCTGTAGAAACAGCAATGATATATACTAGTAACTGCAACCAAAACGTTAGGAAAACTCGGTGGGTTTTAGCAGTGTCTACAGAATTGATAGATGCTCGGAAACTCATCCCATCTGACTCAGAACACGATGAGGAGCTGAGGCAGCTTAAACGTAGGCAAATAAAAAGCCTACGTAATGATCGTGAGCAGTGGTGGATAGAGAAAGCAGAAGTGATGGAAAAGGCAGCAGCGATAGGTAACAGTAGACAACTGTTCAAAATTATCAAGGAAACGGGTATTAAAAATCCGTCTGTTAGTGAGACTATCTCAAAAAGACGTGACTATTGTTCTTTGTCAATCTAGGAGATTATATATATATATATATATATATATATATATATATATATATATATATATATATAGCACTCAGTTACCAATAATTACAGAATTTGTTCAAACTGACCACAAAACCACATCGAGTCATTCAATTTAAAAGAAAATGCACTAAAAATCAAATGACTACTTACAACTTAAAGTAGATTGAAAGTCAATAGATAGAATTCGCGCCAAATAATTTAGTACAATTAAAATGCGTTAAAAGTTGATCAGACGAAAATTATTTTAATTCGACATATGAATCTCAAGATTAATTTCCTTCCCCATAGATTGTATTCGAGGATTTAGCGTCACCAAAAATCTATCAATTCGAAGGAGGATTTGTGGAGATTTTAGTAATTTTAATAGTTGAATTCATGAGTCGATCCAAGCTAGACAACTATTAAAAACCTGGGAGGACTGGACGGCCGTTTCGTCCTAGTATGGGACTTTTCACCAGTGCGTTCGCACGCGAGATCGAAGGTCGCGGGTTCGAGTCCCACGTGCGGGATAGTGGATGCACACTGATGAGGAGTCCCATACTAAAACAAAATGACTGTCCATTTCTTCTAGGTTTTCACTAGTGGCCTATGTTAAGTCGACTGATGAACTCAACTATTAAAATCCATCAATTACCTCAGGTCACAATAAATCAATTATTCAGTTTTAAAGTAATGACGAATTCAGGGTTTGTTTAGTCGTGATTACTTTCTGACTTTTTCAGATCAGTTCACATGACCCGCTTCATTGTATTGGTAGATTAGAGTGTCTATTAAATATTTTTAGACGTACCACTATCACTGATTGCTCAAAACAAACAAATTTTGAGAAATTACGAAACACCAACCAGTTGATCGACAATTTTTGCATGGCAATGTCTCTATTCTTCCTCCATTTCTCAAGCAGAAAAGCAATTCGCGTATAACATTGACATAACGTTGGTATATGCTTCTCTTCTTTCTGGGATTTTCTCACTGTTTCCCGATAAGCTGGTAATTTTTCTTTATTTTGTTTAAAGTATATTAATTTATCTAATTTTTAAGTTGAATATTGTAAAACTTTATTCCGTAATTTTTAAAACATTTATTTAGTTTTTAAATGTCCGCTACGAGTCGACATTATCTTAAGGTCAATATAAAACTAAACACACATGCGAGTTGTTTCTTCCCGATTCAAACTTCTCTTGAAGCTTTGAGCATATACCGGTTTGAGATTTATTCCAATCAAGCACTTCGACACTTTATGATTTGCTCATCTGCTGTCAAGTTGAATCATAATGATATGTACTTAACGACATTAGTTGGCCCGTAGTGAAGTAGTATCTTCTGGCTCTCTATTCCTATAAATTAAAGTCACACTTACCCTCCCCCGTGGGAGGCAGTGATTTCATTTTGATTTTTGATAACCATACTTTTCTGACAGCCATTTTGTTGGTGGCTTATGGAAATCCAATAAACCTAACTGTCATTCTGTGTCACTGATTCGTGATTCTATGAAATTCTTAAATGGCAAGTTAACGATGGTCTTCTGTTTATGGGAATAGAAAACTGAATACAAACAATAACTTTGTCAGAGAAAATTTATCAGTATATATCAATTACAGTTCTATCGAATTTTAATACTAGTTCAAGTTAAAATAGCTTGTGTAAGGTTGTTTCTGATTTAAGCTTATGATACATTTCTACTTTAACCTAAAAAGATGATTTTGTTTCTTGTTTTACCACTGATTTCTAGTTTAATTTACATCTGTTGGTAGCGCACTGTAGAAGTTGTCAGTGGTTCGTCTTTTAAGGTTATTGAATTTCAGCGAAATTCCATAGTTTGTTGATGTTATGGCTCGCTCTTACTTCAATGGCTGTGAATAATTCTGTTTTCATCCTTTTTTTCTACTCGCTAACTGGAGAGTAAATTCCAAATTTGTCTAAACGTTTTCTTGATAGAGACCTAAAAAGGAAAAATTTACGTTTAGCTTAATTCCACTATATATCGATAACAGAATTTGTCTAACCGGATAATTGTAACTTGAATACAGAATTACTTTGAGCTGGTCAATACAAAGAAAAATGTATTGAAAGTTGACTGGACAAAAATCGTCATAAATCAATATACTTATTTTAAGATTGACTTTCTGTCTATAATAATATTACTAGGATATATAGCTCATATCAGTACAAATTATGCATGAATCTGTAGTGTTCCTAGTTTCGCATTCTAACTTTTCTCTAATCTGATAAAAATGTTTGACTCAGTCTATATTTAGTCAACTTTGTACTAATGTATCAGAAGAATTTTATTTTACGTTCGTTAAGTAAAGTTCACTTGAACCCATCAAGTGTGGTTGCTATAGACTCTCGTCAACATAAAAATATTTGTTTCCATCAATATTGTATATATCGTATTCGTTTCCTCGAAGGTTAATTATTAAGCTTTAGATATTCGGAACCTACTATGTTTTGTGAATCGTCGATTAAATGATTTCAACTGTACTTATCTTTTTTCCTTTTTGTGCAACAAAGACAAATCTCACGAAAGGTTTTGTAAACGGAGTTTGTTTCATTTCATCTAGTTTTTTGAAATAATTCATGTAGTTTATAGGTGTCAATTCCATGTTGGAATTTATAGTTTCAAATAAATTGAGTATTAGGTAGAAAGTTAATAAATATATTTTTTTATCATATCCCAGTGAGTAGAAAAAACGTATTTTTGACGTTTCGTGACTTAATGTCAACCACTTCTTTAGAGTAAATAAACAACCGAAGTAAATTAACATAAGTTCCTTTATGCTACCTAAACTTATGTTAATTTATTTCGGTTGTTTATTCACTCAGAAGAAGTGGCTCACCCTAAGTCACGAAACGTCAGATATACAATCTTTTTACTCATTGGGATATTACAGAAAATATATTCATTATTAATTCGTGTAGTTTTTTGTGCTACTTTACGTAACATATATTTGTGACTTATTTGGCTTTTTCTTTCGTTAGTTTGAATTCTTCGGTCGAATATTCCTTGCTTGTCCGGCATTGGGATTATTTTCTGACCCAAGTGGTCTTAACTTAATCGAAGAAATGTTTTCAACCACTGATATTCTGTCTAATTGGCGTGGAATAGCTCGTTTGTTTACCGCACTTTTATTGGCACATCCACCTCCACATCTTGGGGTTTCTCGACACAAACTTCTTAATCCTTCACTCCTTTGGCGAGTAATAACAGGGATAGTAAATCAAGAATTTATTCCTTGTGCAACTGCTGAAGTGAGTATTTGTATTCTTGAGATTTCTTGGAGTTATTATTGAATCCTCTAAGTTACAGTTCACGTGGTATGATAAAATGGTAAACTAGGCTTTATGTTATCATGTCTCAAAGTTAATTTTAGTAGTTTCGATGTATCCAATTTTCATCTTAAGGCTTTTGAACATGGAGTTTTCTAGTTAAGAACCTTATATTATCCAGATGTACTCCGAATACCAAATTCCAAAATACCAACGTTTAAGAAGATATCAATTTCAAAACTCATGAGATGAATTTTTCTATAAATTGCAATTCATTTTCATTAGTATTGATTCACTCAAACCTAATTTAGTTTATTTGGTTGTCAATGCACTTAATGGTATTGACTAATTCATTGTGATTTTAATTTTAAATAACAGTTGATCAGTTTGATCATAATTCTGTAGTTAACAATGATTAAATGGATTGAATTAATCTGGATATAAATCAGTTTTCTTTGATCTCCCACGATAACTTTTAAAATATCGAGGATTTTTATCGGGTAAATTAGAATATATATATATATATATATATATATATATATATATATATATATATATACATATATATATATATATATATATATATATATATATATATATAATTTTCAATTAGATCTTGATTGGGGTTTACTTGAGTATACAGTAATATTCATATGTGTGCGTTAAAACTGTTAAACCAACCAAGGCAATTATTAAACTAATGGTAGATTACACAACTAAGTAAGAAGTACGAATTGATAATAGGATGACAGTTGCACCAGTGTTGATAAGAATTGCCAATATAATAATAGGGATATAAGTTTAGATTTAGAGAAATAAGTATTGAACCAACAATTATTAAAATTATGTAATGGAAAGTATACAAATAATCTGAGTGAATATATACTCTAAAGATGAAAAATAAAGGGTTTGAAAAGTTGATAAAATTCTTTAGTAGGTCTTATTCTTCCAAGGAAGGAATACATATAGGAGATGAGATCAAATCTCGGTGGGAAACAATGAAGGTATATTATAGATCACTCCAAATGATTTAATTTTATTTACCACATGAGCACTATCAACCAAGTTCGATAAAATAATGCTAATGTCATATTCGTTTGACCCTTTCTAAACCATCCACTCATTCACTAGTTAAGTTGTCTGATGGTACGCCCATTATAGGTTTCTCCTCAAGACCAGTTAGCTTTGTAAATGCATATCAGGGAACCAAAAAAATCAGTTGACTTGTTATTTGTTTGAATAGACACCTGGTGAACTGGAAACTGATAAAGTAAAATTAGCTGCGTAAAAAGTCCTTTTAATCGCTCATACAAGTCTGTCATGTAGAAAAGTACTAGCAAAACTCCTGTGGAGTTGTAGTGTTAGGAAGAAAATTTTCTCTTGAACGGCATATATATCGAACTTTTGATCCACTGTATAAATATGCTTCTTTAGAAACATCTGCTCATACCCTGCTTTGATCACCAGGTTAATAATAAATTCCTATTCTTCTTTTATAGCTGCATTTAAGCTGGTCGTTTTTACTTTGCCCGTAAGACATCTGGTCAGATTTCTTTTGTTTAGCGTATAGATGTAAAGATAGTAGCGATCCAGTTGTTTCTACTATATGCTTCATAAATGTGAGCACACACCTTAATAGTAAAAAATTGCTTTCTTCTTAACTAAGCTGTATCTTTTATGAAATACTATCCTTGTTCATTTATTTATTGATCGCGGAACCCTTCTATCTTCTATTTCCTCAGAATACCATTAGATCATTCTGTACCTTATTGTTTGTGGCTTTTTAATTGTGATAAATGAAATAGAATATTAATTTGTTCAATCTATCGAGATTTGATTTGAAATTATATTTGATCATCATACTATAAGTTTGTCACAAAACCTATTGCGAGTAATTTCTTAGTCTCAATATCACATTTGCTTGAAATTGTCAATCTATTCAATTACGAAAATAGGTTTAATAAGCTAGCAAAATTAACATAACTCAACTAGAAAGAAAAAAACATTCCGAAAAAGTATGGCAATGGTTATAGCTCATTAACTACGAATGACTGGGATGTTAACATCATGCCTAACACTGAGTAAGTGACATGTGATTTTACCATTAAATAAATGCGTGTGGTTATTTAAATTGCAGTTTTCAGGTGGGACATGTTCTAAAATACGAACTTCAAAAGGGGTTCCATTAAGTGAATGAGCTTCTAAAGAGCACGTTCTTTAGAATTCTGTCCAATCAATGCACACATAAGTCCTATCGACAAGAAAAGATTGAGAAACAATTAACTGTAGTTGTTGATAAATATATACGATATACTGATTATCAACTTTAATTTATTGATATCTAGATCAGTCCTATTATTTTCGTTTTTAGTATTACTCAATGTCATGAACTTGATAGACTTTCAAATTTAAAGTCTGAATTTTCATTTGGTGTTCAGTTATTGTTCTGATTACTCTCGGATTGCATTCTAAAAATCAACCAGTTTTTCAAGAATTTTTCAGTAATGTTTAGATACTTTCTGTTTCTTTATTCTCTGATAAGGGACTATCTGTTGGATAGATTTAAGTAATGGATTCAATTAAAAAGCTCCACAAAATAAACTTACTTTTAATGTACCCATAGCTTTACTGCGTTGGTTGAAGATATGAACATAATTAATCGGTCTGGCATTAGTCGATTTACATAAAGTACTGTTACCATTAAAAGGATTTTCCTTCGCTTGAATAATTTGTTTAATAGCCTATGGATGATATTGTTACTTATAATACTCTCTTGAAACTTATTGACACTGTAGATGACTTGATCATACTAGATGAATTCACTATCAGTATCTTAGTATCTTCCGTACAATCATATCGGTATATTTGAGTTGTTAATCCATTTTGTAATTTGTATAATTGATTGTATTTTTATTTCTAAAGGTTTTACACGGGATATTAGAACTTGGAGGCTTTGTATTTGTAAATCTCTACGGTAATCAAGCAAAACGTCTTTTCATACCATCGGTATGATTGTTAATAAATCACCTGTACTACGCCAATCACTACCAGAAATACAATTATTGTCGTTGCTTGAAAAGTATGAGAGTATCGATAAAATTCCAGATCGAATCGGTTTTATTGATAAGAGTTTTTGGGATTCTGTGTGATGTTCACTTGTATATAAAAATCATATTTATTTTTATAATTCGAGATTTGTATATATTTACTTTTGTAAATAAAAATACACTTTTAAAATATAGTATCCTGTCACACTATTCCGATTCATTATGTATTTATAGAGATTTGTTATGTTGTGTATTTCATTTTGACATGAAACATACTTATGTAACTTTTCTTTGGTTATTAAAACTGGATTGAATCTAAATGGTATCTTTTGAGATAGTTACATATTATGTCCAAATTAAGTTCTATAACTAAGCTGTAATGAAGCGTGGATTTTAAATGGTACAAAAAGTACTTTGTGTTTGGTTTTCTGGAAAGTTCGTAGATTGTTAACATTTCTAAGTTAAATTTGCGGGCTAAAAGATCTAAAATACAACTCCTCCATCGACGGTTATTCTAGAAATCAGTAGCATAGTCAAGAGTAGGGTTTCTGTGGTGCTCTTTTGTACTTAATGACTGCCTGATTTCGAATTCGAAATGCAATACGTCCTCCCATGTTCATATGGCTGTTATTTCTGGGATTCCTAGTTTGTACTATGATTAAAGTAATTCAAACTATCACATTAACATCGCGGTGGAGCCTGTTTTGGAGCAATCGGACATTCAGATTTTGATGCTTTTGAGGATTATTTGAATAGGTTTGAGATCTGGCGCATAACCAAGAAAGGTGTGAAGGGTGGTAAAATTGTGGCACATTTCCTTACATTCATCGGATGACAAGCCGATAGTTTATTGAAAACTTTGGCATATCCAGAAAAGCCTGACTTACTTTCTTGTGCAACTCTTAAGGAACTACTATTAAACCATGAAAAGTGCCACAGTTTTTAATGTCATGAGAGGGCAAAATTCCATAAAATGATTCGTCAGGGCATCAGGAGTCCCACTGCTTTACTACGTCGTCTCAGTCCAATGCGTAATCAGGGTTATTCAGATAGCAATTCATTGGGAAGTTACGAAGATGAGCACGAGTTTGGTAAATGCTTGTTCTGTGGCAAGTTTCACCCATGTAATCCATATGTATTTCGTAATTCTAAATGCTTTAAGTGTAAAACTGGACATATTCAGTTCACTTGTAATACTACGGTCCATTTCGCTGCGATTAATGCTAAAATTTGTAGCTGTGATTATTTTAAGTTGAGTGTTTCTAATAGCCGCTTATCTTTATCCACGTTTTCGAAAAGCGGTATAGTCACATAGCAGTTCAGAGTGGCACATGTGTATCTGGTGCCGCCTTGTACGAGTATTTATGTATTCAAATAGTAATAAGTAGATAACTAAACAAGTTAAGAAACTTCATAGGCTCAGGAAAAAGCACTGGGGTATGTTCATCTCTACTGGTTTAGAACAGTACGGACCCAGTTATTGTAAGGTTAGGAATGTTTGTGAAGCGTTAATAAGTAGGACTACACGATCATATGAAAAACAATTGGTTAGGGATTATAAATATAGTCCGAAACGGTTGTTCTCGTATATAAAAGACAAACTCAGAGAAGCGATGAAACTTCATCCCTTCTGATACCAGAAAATTCGTTAATATTTGCGAGAAATGATACCGAGAAAACTGGAGGTTTATATTAATATTTCATTAAAGTTTTCGATCAGTAGTGAGGAAAAATTGTGGCGGCTTGCCGGTGGACCTTGTAGTCATTGAGAAAGGTACTATTTCAACTTCTCAAACCTGATAGGTCCATTGGTTCTGATGATATTCGTCCTAGGGCTATGGCAGCCCTATCAGATGTAATTGCTGAACCTTTAGCGATACTATTTGATATGCCTCTGAGGCAGTCCAGACTGCCCAGAAACTGGAAATACGCGATAATTAGTCCGGTGTATAAGGCTGGGAGTAGAGATTTAGTTATTAACTATAGACCCGTTAGCTTAACTTGTGCAGTTGTAAAACTGATGGAAAAAATCATTCGAATATCTGCTATAAACTATGTTGAAGGGCATAATCTTTTCTCCAGGGAAACACATAATTTTCGGAGAGGTCTATCATGCTTTACAAATCTCATTGCAAGAGAAAATTGGGTTGCGGCAAAAGATCAAGATGTTCCTGTAGATGTGATTTCCATGGATCTAAGTAAAGCCTTCGATAAGATCTCCCATCATGGTCTTAAATTCAGACTGGAATGTTTTGGAGTTCATTATATAGTCACAGACTGGATAAGTGACTTCCTCCATGACTGGAGGCAAAGGGTAAGTGTAAATGGAGCTCTTCTTCATTGGAACCTGTAAAAAGTGGAGTTCCCCAAGGCACGATCCCCGGTCCTCTTCTCTTTTTACTTTGTGTGAATGATTTACCAACGGTAGCAGAGTTATCCGTTCTTATCTTTGCCGACGACGTAAATGTTTGGAAACCCATACACAGTATATCGGATAGAATAGTATACAGGATGATCTCAACTCATTGGTGGCATGGATGGACGGGTGGTCACTAGAAGAGCGTGGCGGTGCAATTAAATAACTATGACGATTCCTGTCACCCAAAGTATGGAACTATAAAGATCCAGGAGTCATATTAAGCAGTGATCTCAAAGCCACTAGTCACTGTAAGGCTGCTTCTGTGAAAAGCTATAGGGTGTTATGGTCTATTCGTGGGTCTGTAGTAGCATCGGACCATAACCACACAATCCTCAAAGCTGAATATGAGACTACTCAGAAAATAGATATTCAATATTTAACGCGGAGAAATACCTAACAATGGAGAAGGCGCGGACAATGAATTGAATGGACTGGGTTTGGTGGCAGCGCTCCAGGGGTATCGTGACACTTTTTTGCGCTACTTTTTCATTTCTGCTTTGTGCACAACCAAATTTCGAAATACATTTTGAATAAATTTGAAAGTCTATTTTCCGTTTTCATAATTAGGTAAAAAGGGGTTTTTCCATTTTGGGTTACATGGTATCGCGAAGTCCTTGAAAATTCATTAATCAGGTGCTGCTACAATAGTTTTTCGGTGTTTGCATCGCAGATTAGCAATTATTTCTACTTAGGTATACACTGATCGTAGACAAATCTTTTATTTTTATATGAAATAGCAAGATTCAGGCATATATCGTCATAAAAGTTGTATTGTCGTCAAGGCTACCAAAACTGCGTTACAACTAACGATACCATGGTAAGATTTATCGTTTTTCCTATCTTCATCACAATTTCTGCTGATTTTCACTGTTTTGTTCGACTTTTGTGGCAGAAATAGGTTTGATGATGTCACAGGTATTCAGTGTTTGACAACGCTTCTACCAGTAACACCTTCTAAGATATTTCGTTCCCACCAAGAGAAATCAAAAGACAGAGTCGAGGAGATCGGAAGAGTATATTTGGCGATGACCAATATACCGGGATTCTCTGATCTAATCTGGCTAGCGATTGTGGTTGATGTTGAGCACGGCGTTACTACACGTGATCTGGTGCGGATGCCTGACCGAGCGCCTTCAGCTAGATGAGTCCACTAAAACATATGGTCAGCATCCAATGTCGAAAACTTACAGAGCTATTTATTTTAGGGATTTATTTACCGCTACAGATCACTCCCCCCCTAGTGGGGCAGTGACGACCCTAAGACGTGGCCAGCCAGAAGTTTAAACCCAACGAGTTTGTCGTTGGTAAACACTCTTCTGATAGCTTACTAAATTTAGCAGCGTCTGGTCGTCTTTCCTTACTATATGGGACGGAGGTACAACATAGTAAAAAAAAGAAAATGTACAATGAAAATTTCGGATCCTCATAAACGTCATCGTTCTTTTCCAGCCGTCCTGGAAAAGAAAAAAGAAAATGTAAGTGCATGTCGAAAATACACTCGTATATGCGTAAAAACACAAGGTCGGCGGAAAAAAATGGAAAATAAACTCATGAGCACGTAATAGCGTTAAAAAATTGTTTTGTTTTGTTTTTTTTAAATAGAAATAAAAATATATAAGCATATTAAAATTGTTTTTTTTTAAAAAAAATAATATAAAATGTCGAGAAGTGCCTTACGTGCAATAGTCGTTTAAATGTTCTGGAAATCTCACCCTTCTTCCAGAACGCGTCGTTTTAAGTTTATTTTCGGATACTGTCGAAGTATCTTCGTGTGTGTTGGTTGTCGGATGAGGTATTATTAGTGTCTGAGTCGTGTCGTTCGATTGTACCGAAGGAAAATCGACGTGGATAGGATTTCCTTCTAAATACGCTGCTTTTAAGCGATCGATGCTGATGCTATCGTTGGTTCCGTTCTTATCGACTATATAGTACTTAGATTCACGTTGAAGAACTTTGAAGGGTCCTTCGTATGCTGATTCGAATGGTCGTCGATGCGAGTCTCGACGAATGAAAACGTGTGTACTATATGGTAAGTCAGGTTGAACGAAAACATCAGTTGATTGAGGTCGAGTGGAAGCAGGTTTAACTGAACGCATTGCGTTTGTAAGCCTGTTCGTGTAGGAGGTTAGATCCATGTTCATCGAAGAGCACGAAGGATCCACGAATTCTCCTGGAAGTCGAAGTGTCGTTCCATAAACGAGTTGAGCCGCAGTGTATCCAATGTCAGCTTTCACTGCATTGCGGATACCTAGTAAGACGAGTGGAAGAGCGTCGGTCCATTGTGAAACGTTTGCAGCTGATAGCGAAGCTTTCAGTTGTCGGTGAAAACGTTCTACCAACCCGTTTGCTTGGGGATGGTAGGCGGTCGTTCGGAAGCGAGTGATTCCTAAAAGTGTGGTCAGACGACGGAAAAGATCAGATTCAAACTGACGTCCGCGGTCTGTAGTGATGGTTGAAGGGCAACCGAAGTTTGCTACCCATCGTTCGACGAATGTGCGGGCCACTGTTTCAGCAGTGCTGTCCTTGATAGGTACTGCTTCTGGCCATCGAGTGAAACGGTCTACGCAGGTTAAGAGATAAGAGTATCCATTTGAATCTGGTAAAGGTCCTACCAAATCCAGATGAACATGGTCGAAACGAGCATCGGGAGTTTTAAACGAGCCTAAGGGACATTTATTGTGTCTGATAACCTTAGATTTTTGGCAGCTTACACAGGAGCGTGCCCACTCCCTCACGTCTTTATTCATGCCAGGCCAGCAAAATCGTTCTGCTATAAGCTTGATGGTTGCACGAACACCTGGATGAGAAAGTTTGTGCAATGTGTTGAAGACATTGCGTCGATAATGTTTCGGCACGATTGGGCGATCCCTACCTGTAGATGTGTCACAAAGTAAGGTTTCC